GACCTGACCAAAAATCTGGGTGCTCAAACATAGCAAGCCTCGTTGTTGTTGAGATGCTGTTGAGGTGACGCTTAGTGCGCGCCACCCCTGTTTTGCAGTTTTGTCTCTAGAATTGTTGTGCGCGCGGGCGCGGCGCAAGTCGAAAAGCTCATTCGCGTTAAAAAGCACGCTCGTGCGGCCGATTTTTCGGAGTTCTCCGATGTGACCGACTTAGCGATGCTTTTTATACTTTATTTAATTCTAGCTCTTTACTCAGTACGGAGCCTAGATAGCGATCAAACCCCGATTATTCATTAATTAGGGAGTTTATTCCTTTCGCGGCAGCATTCATTGCTACCAGCGCTTTTTCACGGGGCTCTATAATTCCTTGACCGGTTGAGCCCTCTCGCAAGCCACGGCTTCGCAGAGAAAGTTGTTTTCCCCAGCTTACTGGCGAATTACAACATTTTACACTTGCCGCTGTTCAGCGAAAAATAAGTGTAGCTCCTACTTGTCCAGCCTGGCGAATAGGTGTTTCGGAACGAGATAGACGGGCCGGTCGGCCCTTTTTATCCGTTTCCCCCTCGTTGATTTTTATTCGCGAGTTTTCCTCGTCGAAAAATCACTTTTGCGAGAGAGAGAGAGTGTGCTGGCGCTCGCCTACGCACACGTGCCCGGAGGGGATCATCCAGCCGCCGCGGCGTTTCAGCCACTCAGGAGCCGCGCGTGAGCTCGAGCGGTGACGGTGACTTTTTGAAAAGCCACTAATTACCTACCTTTTTCAAAAAAGAGAGCAATTTCTTTAGAGAAAAGACCCTTCTTCCGAATGATAGATATACCTCCGGCCCTCAGGGACAAGTATGACAGGGATTTTGCAGATCTGCACCCAGGTAGCTGGGATAAAAGACCGGATTATGGGGATCCCCAAAAAGTCCGAATCCCAAGAGGCCAATTAGACCCACATACCGACCCAGGTTTCACAAGAGCGGCGTCTTGGGCAGCCAAGAATTCGAAAGTCCTTTCGAAACTCGGTGTGTTTCCAGTGTCGGATTCGGCTTGGTTGGTCGTGAATTGGGACGTGCTAGATTCGGAAACGAATGCGATTTGGAGCCTGAAACCGGGCAGAGATCCAGCACTACTGTATGCGCTAGCATCAGACTATTATTTAGTGCGTCTCGAACCTCGGGAGCGAGAAGATCCTCCACAAAACGGGGGGGAGGCTCAGAATGTCAGAACAGACTGGACGGAGCCTGTTCTCTGCTTCCTGAAGAAGGACATTACGGCGAGAGCCTTGCGGACAGTTCTGTCCAATCTAATCCAATTGGAATTGGGTCCTGAAACCAGGACAACGCTGTCAGATCTAGTCCTCGAATGCGCAGCACAGAACGTTCACAGGAAGTTCTCTCAGGGCTTGGTATTCTCAGGCTTCGGCGACCAAGAATCGATGATAAGAATTATTCTGACCTCGGTGCCCACCTTCGGAAAGAAAAAGTCCTTCATCAAACCAGTCAACGGAGCTTTGAAAGGCCTGAACGGGCTAGAAGGTGATTTTAGACAAGCATGGCTGTCATGGCTTCCTAAATCCAGACTAGGACCGTTGTGGTCATACCACAAAATGCTTCTAACATCGGTGCTCACCGATTCTTTCTGGAACTACATCACTTGCAAAGTCCTGGAAACTACTCCGGACGAGCTCGAGAAACGAGAGTTGAGACCAGACCCCGAGTGGTGGTTCAATAATTTGGTGGCGTTCGCCACAGTAGACTTGCTGGCGATGAGTGAAGAGATCCCGAACTCGCTGAGCCACCCGAAAGACTTCATTGAAGCGATAGTTGCCAACGCTGCGGCAACGGAGAAGTGGGTGTCGAAAGATACCCTCCAAAAAGCGAAAGTCATCAGAGAAAATCTGACGTTTCCCACAAAGGATCGGGACCGTAAAGGCGAAGGCCTCAGAATGCGACTGATTTTGAACAATGCGGTCGCATGTGGGATAGAAAGATTGACAAAATACCTGGAAACAGGACGACTCCTTCCACTGGCGGCCGCTCGGCACCCTTTTTGGAGGCTCAAAATTAGAGCCCAGCTAGCGAAGAAATTGGCGGAACAGCTAAAATCGCCGGGGAATGGAAAGATGAAGGGCAGACTTGCCTTTAAAACCCGCGACTGGAGGCGAGCAATCATGGAGAAAACCAGGACTACATTCGAATTCCCGGTGGATTTCTGCGATTACTCGCTCACGCCTGAAGATAAAGCCGATCCGATTTTGTCTCTGTTCAGAGAAGTACTAGAAGGCTTCAAGGAGCGAAAGCTAACGGCGGAAGTGGTGTCCGAGTGGTACAAGGATATTCGCCAGACATCCGAACAGACCATCCTGAAACAAAGAAGAACGTTTTGGGAGAAAAACCCACTGGTCAATGATGATTGGGAAACTATCAGAAAGGCCACACCGGACAATCACTTTGACTTGGCGCGCTTCTCGTTCGAGCAAGCAGCAAAGAAGAATGCCAAAGGCCCGTTTTCCAAGATGCAACTGACTCCAGATCCTTGGTTCGAAATGGTGAAAGATCATGCGTTGAGCAACGCCGACTCAGATCTAGCCTGGCAAATTCCTGACGACTTCTGGGAAGTCGCCGAAGCTGCGGGTAGCAGAGCCTGGAAAATTAGAGCGGCTAGACTGGCGAAGGCCGGAGCGGTGGGAGTTTTTGCAGCAAAAATATGCAACGAAACGCCGGATATTCCATTAGCGGATCCGCTACATGCAGTGGTAGAATATGCGGCGCAGACGCTCAGACACCCAGCTGAGTATTCACTCAGAGAAGCAATTGAGGTGGTAGCCGACAATTTACGGTATTCGTGCTCGGAAACGGGCGAGAAACCGTGCGAAGTCTGGAAGAAAATGGAACAAATGGCGACGAGCGTCGATGTAAGAGCGGTCTTCCCGCCTCCAGAGCTGGAGAACACTCAGAACTCCTTTCTATTGATGCATCGGGTCCCCTCGGCCTCAAAATCAAAGCTTCATTTTCAATGGATCGGAAACGACGCTGAAAGAGCAAAGGAGTCGATCTTGTGGAAAAAAGAGCATCCATGGAATAAGATTGGGTCAGTCATGACGATCGAGAAAGCGACCGCTATCTTAAACGACCTGGCGGAATTCAGACCAACGGAAGCGGCGATGCTACTGAAATCAATGGCTAAATCTAGGCCAGCAGGGGAGGGGATCGTCCTTGTTGCCACGTCTGAACAGGCGCAACAGAACTGGGTGGACTTAGCGACGGCTAAGCTACCAAAAGACGAAGAGCCTTCGGCGATCTGGCAGGAAGCGTTCGCTTCGCTAGAGTTTGCAGAACTGTCGTCAGTTAACAAAGCATCACCAGTGCTTTTGCGGCTAATTGAACACGATGAAAATCGTGGACTCTTCAGATGGCAAAGACTAATCTTCCGGGAGACCGACAATGGAATGAGATCCATCATTTGGAATACTCACAATCTGGTGGCTCCAGGAAAAGTAAGAATCCTGCGAGACTTTGTCAGCTGGGGAAAGGGACACCTTTCCAACCGACACATTAGAAAATCGGAAAAGGAGAGAGAAATCTCTATTCGAGGACTTCGAGAAAACGGACTTCAGACAATGCAGCCTAGGACTAGGCAGAGGAGTTCTGAACAGACTCGCGTGCACAACGGCAACGTTGGCGAAACCATCATGGCTGGATCTAGTGTCAGTATCAGGTTTGGGCTATCGCCCTACAAAAGGGAAGATCAGACCGTTTAACACTGGAAACAAGAACAATTTCGTCAGGAGACCAAATAATACACAATAAATGAGTAGGGAAACCCCGTTTCATCAACAAATCCCCCATTCAAGCGTCCGCTATTATAATCTGAAATCAACGAAGACCCACTCACCCTCAGGATCCTGAGATTAGTCATCAAGCCACGCTCAACCAAATGTTACTCATCGCGGAGGCGGCACGTGCACCGCGCGCCCAATCAGGTGCGCCGCTCGGCTCAATCGCGCTTCGACTCACTGCCAGCATGAAGTAAATCACCATTTTTCTGATCCAAAATGAATTGAAAGAGAAGCTGGCGGCCGTTTTCTTAGAGAAAAAGGTGAGAATAAGAGAAATGTTTCCGGCCCTTAATCTTCTGGTTTCAGAGAAAGCGAAAAGCCGGAGAATTGTCCGGACAATTTGGGAGCCGAATGGCTAAAATCGAGGCTAGAAGGAGCCAGTCTTCAGTCAGGCGATCGCCTTATACTTTTTCGGAGTGAACCCGCCCATTCTTCCTTGTTTATACCACTGCTCAAAAATCGCTCGTTTTTTCTGCTGCAAAAGAAGGGGAAACCCGTCCTTTATCTACCCTTCTGTGCTGTGCAAATGCGTTTCGGCTGCGATCGCAACCTTTCCTCTTGCTTAAAACCTTCACACCCGTTGTTCTATTCATGCCAGTCCTGGTATTGTTGATCCTATAGGAAGCTTTTAGTTCTATTATCTGTTCTGTCTCTCTCCTGTAAGAAAATTTCAAGATAATATGTGTAACATGGCTAACCTATTCCCCTCTTTTCAGATCCGGAATCGGCTTGAGATGTCCGACAAGGACGGGACACGCGAAGCAGAGCGAATGCTCGTCGACCAGCCCATGGACGACCCAGCTGATCTACTGGACGAGGCTGACTTCATCGCTGGCTACAACGAGCACAACAGCGGCATCGAGCCCATCGAAACTGCTCCGGAACCGGAGGAATCAGCTTCAGCCCAGGGAACGCCAGTTCCAATGGAAGTGACGCCAATCGAAGATAGCATCACCATCCACGCGGTCGAAGATGAGGAAAATGATCTTCTAGGTAGGGAATTAGTGGAGGATGAATTTACCCACCCGTCGGTTTTGTTTTGGCGACTGCTAAAGAAACTGAAATTTACTTCGGCCCAAGTTCTCAGGCGATTTTGGTTAGCATTGAGGGTGTTCACCCAATTTAGGCTAACTTTTACTGAAAACGGTGCTATTAGAGTCGACAGACTACCGAAAGAATTCCTAATATGGGAACGATTTGCATTCCTGCTTATCGTGGCCCACGTACAGTTTTTTGAGTTCTATCTGACATTTGAAGGATTTACAATGTTAATCCTTATTTCAGGATCCCCAGGCCCACTGGTGATGGATCTTCCGACTAGCGCGGACAACTCAAGAGCGGAAGACATGTCGCAGGACGAAGACGATCTTCTGGCTGAACAGCCAACATCAACTGAGCGGGAAACCGCAGGAAAGAAGAAAGTCTCGAAACCGCCTACAGCGAATCCGCTCCCAAAGTCGCCACCGGTGGTGATTTCGTCTGACGAAATGGATCATGACCGCCCTGGTCCTTCGGGTCTCCAGCAACAACAGCAACAGAAACCACAGCGGGCGCCGGAGAAAGTGGCTGAGAAGCCTAAAAAGAAGTACCATCCGAGGAGGATGCAACTCTGCCCGCCGTCGATGCGCAAAAAGCAGGTGGCGATCCAAATGGCGGCTGGCGAATCGTCAGATACGGACGAAGAGTCTGATAATCGAAAAAGCCGAGCGGCCGAGTCGGGAAACCGAAAAAGAGCATCAGACGAGGAGGCGAACGCCCACAAAAAGCAAAAGAAGGCGAATCGGCGGAGCCGGCGAATTCTGATCAGAATGCCAGTGCCAGCGGTAGTAGCGGCAATAACAACAGCGAGTCAGCGGCAGGCGGCCAAGGTGGTGAAGGTTGGGTCATCCCGAGACGAGACACGGGCCCGCGATGGCCAACCACTTCGACAGCCACGCCAACTACGACGTCGACGTCTTCACCGACGGCGGATCGAGCTGGAGCTGAAACGAGGCGATCGCCGGGAAGAGGCCGCCCCCGCTCGATCATTGTGCAGCCACAAGTGAACAATAATCGCCAAGCCGAGGAAAGATACGATCCAGACCTGGCTTGGCATCAGCGTCGCTACCGTCGGCATTACTGGGATCACAGACACGGCGACATCCAGCGCGCCAATACCATGAAGAGGCTATCACGAGAACTCGTGTCGTTTGCCGATTACGCTGGCCGAAGGGGGTATGCGAGATACTTCCCAAACAGAACGATGCTAAAGATTGGGGAATCCCATTACTTCGGCCTAACCCCGATCGGGCCTCCTCCGAAGCTCCGCGAAGGCATCAAGAAAATGTTTATGGCCTTGGTAAACTTGAAGGAGGAAGATATGGGATTACCCTGGCGGGCCCCTCGATTTGACATCTTCCTGGATGAGTTGAACGAAGTGCAGCGAGCGTACTCAGAGAGACTAACAGCTCTGACGAACGCGTCCCAAGCGGGCTCGGCAACGACTCAAACTCCAGCGCGATCGCGTCAACCAGGGGCTGAACAGCCACAACCTTCTACCAACAGACGACGATCGTCGAGCGAAACGGATTCCTTGCCGTCGTATTCAACGGCGATCAGACAAGCCCCGGCGCGCCGAAGTGTACAGCCACGTCCAGCTTCGCCTTTCAGAATCCGAGTTGAACAAGAAGAGGCGCCAATGGCTGTATCTCCTGTCGCATCTCCCGCTCGGGATCCGGAGGTCGTCATTACTGGAGTCAACGGAGCTCGAGCGAACGCTCCGGTCGCTGGAACTCGCCCAGATCCGGCTGAGACCTCAGCAAACGCAACGAACAGTTGGGGCCCGAAAAAAGCACCGAAACCGGAAGAGCTGGTCCCTCCTGAAGATCTGATGGCTGCAATGCCTCCGGGCGATCAGGACCCAGTGCTCACTGAGGAGGAGAAGAAGAGAGATGGCTGGTTTTGGCTGATCAGCGACGCCCACTTCAACGTGGCTAGCTTGGGTATGCGACGCTTGTCGCCCAACTACATCAACGACTGCGGTGTGCTGGCCCCCAAAGTGACGCCTCTGTTGCGCCGAAGAACGAAGTTCGAGCAGGACCTGCTGGCTCTTGGAGTGACGAAGACCGTACACCCGGACAAGCATCGCGCTCGATTGGATGAGTTCATGGTCAAGACCGGCGATGAAAATCGCGTATTGATGCTAGCGACCCAAACTGTCCTCTGCTCAGACGACCAGTGGTTCGATGTCATGAGCATGTTGCGCGAATTCGCGTTCAAGGCCTCCCCGGATCGCTTTCCGCTCTTCGAGTTGATGACGGTAGTCGTCAACGAAGCCTTCAACCAAGGTGGACCCGCCGTTCGGCGCTTCGCACATCGAGCGGCGGAGCGTATCCTGAAATGGGGACTCGACGAAGCTCGCCACATCAAGGGGATCCCCGTGACGCTACAAGAAGCTCCTAGCCTTGGGACTTCGTTCGAAGGCGACTACTACGTCAACGCTACGCATTAATGGACTTACTCAAGTCTCGTAGGTAATTTCGCCCTCAAGATTTTTTCAGAATAATAATACTTATTCTAGCTTCAATGAAACACACCGGAACGGGAGAGCTCTCTCCAACCTTCACGACACCATTGAGAGGACCCTCTCATCTTGACAAAGCGAAGTTCAATGTGACCTTCGCAGTCTGGCCTTGTACATTTCCCCCGAGAAGAAATCAGACGAGCCAGGTCTCCGTCGTCACGCCCTGGCCAGAGCAGCTTTCCATTTTTTTTTCAGGTAAATAAATAGCTCCTGTAGACGGAAAAATAACGTAAATTTAGTTTTCACGCGGCCCGAAAGCAGTACTTCCGCTCCCAGAGCAAGCTCCAAGCGATCGCTGTCTACTGCTGCCAAAAATAAGGGGAACCCCTTTTAGAGTACTTTTCTTCGAGTCATTCTGGCCTTCATATTGAAACTAAATGTTCAAACTCCGCTGTTTTTTCAATCGCTCCTTTTTTCTGCGCCCCTTTTTATACGTGCCTTTTTTCTCGCCTCTAACCTCCTTTTCCTCCTTGTTTTCATTGCCACGTCTTTCAACTACTCCACCTGCCTGTGCCATCCACATTAGTTCTTCTCTTGCCAAAACTCAAATCCTAATAAAAAAGGCAAGCCACAGTAAAACCCTTATAAATCCAGAAACTCTTCTGGATAGTGTTTTGGTGTTCCTTAAGCAGGGCTAGAACTAGCAAGTATGCAGAACTGCAGATAAATCACTATAAATCATGGGCTAATGGCATTATTTTCAGAGAATCGCATCTCGGCACAAGCAAAGTTTTTTGAGCAAAACGGAATAATATGCGAGCGATGATCTGCATCTCGTGTGGGAAGGCATACGATCAAGCAAGCAGACTAAAGCTGAGGCTTAAGAAGTGCAAGCACCGATTATGCCTCCTGTGCCTAGTCGAGAATCCAAATTGGCGAAAAGTGTCAGGCTTAGACTCTAGTGACTCCTCGATCGAGGACGACGACGAGAGACCACGCCGAGTGTTCAATTGCAGGATGTGCGGGAGCCCGCACCGATTGGACACGGAGGTATTGTTCGGAGAACAGGATGAGCCGGAACCGGCTACTCAACAGGAATCCTCCTCAAGCATACAAACGCCCTCGATCACGTCACTGACCCCAGTGAGTTCAACAGAGTTCGCAAATTTCCCGGCACCGGGAGAGCGACCGCAGGCCCAGTCAAGCCCAGTCGAGGGAACAAGCGCCATGGAAAGGCCGACAAATCGAACACAGGCTCAGTCAAGCCCAGCCGAAGGAACGAGCACCATGGAAAGGCCGACAAAGCGGAAACGCAAGCTTCCTCCGAAACCGAACAAGTCGATCTTTGATGATTTTGACACATTTCCTGAACAGGAATTCAAGGTTGAGATGGTCTTTCACGAACCGGAAGAGGGAAAAGACGATCCCCCTTATTTCTTCCGCGTTCCGTGTCTCACAAAGCCCGATCCGACGGAAACGTCAGCGGAATCGTTGGTGAGAAATTTGATTTGGGCTTTCGTCATGGATGGCAGTTACTCGGACGAGCATATGGAGCCCAGAGAAGTCAAATCAATGTTGAGATGGGCTACCGAAAGAGTGAAGGTTAGAGATAAAGCCTTACAAAAGGGCCCAAACCCATTCCCGCTTCCGGAATCAGAACTGATTGACATTAGCGCCAGACTAGAACGACAAATCAGTCGGCTGAATGACTTCGCCTTGCTAGGAAAGAGGGGGCATGCCACATAAAGGCCGTCCCTATAGAAAAGGGTTTAAAAGCTGAACAGCCTCCGGGAAAAATCCACGATCGTGGCCCAAAAGAGTGATTTTGAGCAAAATCAAACGTAACGGTGGGTGGAAAACTTTTTGTCCTTGCTTTTGTTGTTGCATCCTTGTGTTTCGTTGGAAGTTTCCGACTTACGGTAGAATAGAATAGAGTAGAATAGCTAGACGGAAATGAAGGGCGGCCCAAGCGGTCTCATACCAGAAACGGTATTATTCCAGGGCTCCCCGGAAATCCATAGAAATAGCGGCGCTCGCCGTTTAGTGGTAATATAAAATTAAAAAGTCGAAATTGACTCGAAACCTAACGGATGAACAATAAACAATTATTCAACTGTCTGCCAATATATCCACCGACAGGTCGTACTGTGACGAATTATTCTTGTTTTTAGACAATGGCTCGGAGAGTTAAAAAACAACTCATGACTGGCTCTAGTGGGCTCCCGGAGTTCGCTGGGGAGATAGTTCCATGCGCTAAAAGAAGAAGACTGTCGTAGAGGGAGATATTCCTGCCGAGGAAGACAGAGAATCCCAGGAAGAAACGGCCGATCGGCCGGAGCCAGCAGCGGAAGTGGCACCCAACTCTGGGGAACCCCAGACTGAGATCATGGAGGAGAACGACCTCAAGACAAAATATAACCATGCAGTGAGAGTACTCAATTCTTTCCTGATCCATCAGCCACCAAAGCCTCACGCGGGGATCTCAGCGGCAAAAAATGTTGCAAAACTGGCGGAACTCGCGCAGAAGATGGACAACTTCCTGAGCGGAGAGAACCTGTCGATCGACTTGGTTCAGCGAATGCAGATCCGTCTTGCCGAAGCGATAGGAGAAGCTATTTCTAGGGAAGCCGGCCTCATTTTTCGCTACATCTCCGTGTCCACGGATTTCTATAAACATAAAAAGACAGCCCTTGAGATTCTGTCTTTTCGCTTCTCGCCAGAGGATCAGATCATCAAGGAGCTTAAAGAAGGGGTGACCCTTCTGGAAAATATTGCGGGTGCAGGTGGTGAAAACCACGCGATTATCCCGCTCAGGGAAATTTACGCTTCTCACGCGATGGAAGCCCATCGTCTAATTTGGGCTGAGATCTTGGCAGACCTTGCGACATCCTCAGAAGTGGACCCTAGAAAACTAGCGGCCAAAAGTAAGAAGGTAATCTTTCTACTGTCGCAAATATTCGGAAACGAATTTACCTTGATTGCGCACCTACAGGACTGGCTAAGCGCAATCGACTCGCCTAGGGAAGTACGGGAAACCCCGGTAGATGATTTGGTGAAAACCTTGAGGGATATTTTGTTTCCTCGAAAGAGCGAGTTCATGCCCGCATCAGGTAAATACGACGCCTGGGGTCTGGACCAAATCGACCAGAAAACATATGTGCCGAAAGGCAATAGCGCGATCGCGACAAGATTGGAAACGATGCTCGTCCAAAAGAGGAAGGAAACCCCGCGGAAGAGGAGGAGGAGCATGAAGGCGAGATTGAAGAGCTCCGGAGGACGATGCTCAAACGAGCGGGAAACGCTGCGAGCTCGAGCTGGGCGGAAAAGAACCTGGATTTTAAAGTCTCGTCGTCCATGGAGGATTATTTCTGAGCTGAAAAGTTCTGTGTTTGATCAGGCCGTCTGTACAGTTCTGTAATATACGTTCTCGGATCATACGTTCTCGCATCAAAACAGCCTAACCTCTTCCCATTTAGAATGAACTGGAATCGGCACTCGGTGGCAAGAGACATGAACGAACGTCAAAAGAAAGGGCAATTCGGCCCACTAAAAACATGGGAAGATATGTACCTACCGCGGCGACCGCCGGACGTCAGGGAGTCTCCTGGAATGACTCTGAGTTTCCGAAAGACGTGACACCGCCAAGAACTTGGCATGAATGGCAAATTCAGGCCCAGAGGATGTTTGACCTAGCTATAAAAGCGTCGAACGACGCCTTTCGACCGACCTGGGACTTAATCTTCTTTAGAGAAGAAAGGGATTTTTATGCAGGCAGTTTTAAGGATTTCATCCAGTTCTGGCTGATAATCCTAGAGGAATTAGAACCCCCGGATAGATCTAGGGCTTATGCTATTCTGCAGAAAGGAGTAGATGTATTTGAGAATTTCAAAATGATCCCACTGGCAGAGCCGGTTAAATTTCGATCTAGCACGAATTTTGCGATGATTCACAGCGATCATGAGTCCCACAGGACCATTTTCATTAAGGGAAACCTAAGTAGAAGGGCTCTAGGAGGCCTTAATGACTCTGACAAGTATGATTCGGAGGACTGGCCGGCACACCGAAAGGTGAAACATCCGATCCATGTGGGGAAAAAGACATAACCAACCACTGAGAGTGCGAAATTCGGGTAATGTCACATCCTTTCACGAAGATATAGTGGAAACGCTTACCAAATGGTGCTCGACCGGAGCCCTGACACCCTTAGCTCAAAAAGCAGAGGATCCTCTGTGCACGTCGGCCATTATCCTGGTTCCGAAAGGGCCAAAATGGCGCGTGTGTTACGATGGTTCGCCCCTAACTCTGATGGAGTTAAAAAGCGTCAAATGTATCCTGGATGATGTGAGAGAGGTAATGGCGACAATTCGAAAAGGAGATCTCCTACTTAAACTCGATGATAAATCGGCGTTTCACCATCTGCTCTTGGACCCCATGTCGAGCCGAATGGCGACTATGCACTGGGGGGGCCTTAGGTTTGCTTACAGAGCGGCGGCATTTGGCATTCCCCGCATCCCAAGCGAGTATCAGCTTATAAACGGATCGCCGATTAATTTCTTAAGAAAAAGAGGACACATCATCCTCCTGTACTTAGACGATCGTCTCATCATCGAACGGCCGGATTCCGAAAGGGAAAGGAAAGCGATCCTCGATGGGTCAATGGCGCCGCGAACAGCTTTTGCGATCTGTGCTCTAGCTTGTGCTCTGGGTACGTTCCTGCACAGGGAAAAGTCCACTTTTGTTCCTTCACACGAAATCGAGTTTCTGGGTTTCGAATTCAATACACTTGAGGAGACAATCGGGATCCCGAGCGGGAAATGGAAGAAATTCCGAGACGAAATTAGAGCGATCCTCGGAAGTAGCCATACTCATTTAAAATCTCTGGAACGCATCAGAGGCAAGTGTGTGCATTTCATGTACGTGGAAAGGCGCATGCGCCTTTTCATAAGAATACAAAATGAAGCAATCAAAAAATCACTGGAAACGGGAAACCCGATCATCCCACTTCACGCGGAACTCCGAGCGGAGCTGACCAGATGGCTGAAGATGGGGGAAACGCCGAGGAAAGCAAAATGGCTAGAAACGGGAGTGGTCCACCTGAGGAAAGAAATTTTCAGAGAAGAGGACCTTAAAAACCGGCTATTGGTTTACACGGATGCGTCAGGCGGCGCCGGCGGCTTGTGCATCGAAAATCTAGGCGAAAAAGAGCCTTTCTACTGGCCGAAAGGCTTTGAAACAGAAGACATCTTCATGAAAGAAGCCTACGCTATCCTCATTATGCTTAAAAGGAAAGGAAGCCGCCTTAGAAATAAGCGAATCCTGATCAAGTGTGATAATCAGGTCGTCTGCAGTGCGCTCTACCACGGCTCAAAAGTGGGTAGGCTGAACAGCCTAATCTACGAAATCTATGAAGTAGCGGAGGAGTGGAACATTGATCTAAGGGTAGACTACGTGAACACGTTGGAGCAACTGGCTGATGAGCCGTCGCGAACTTTCGACTTTAACGAGAGTGAAATCACGAATGAGGCGTTCAAAGAAATTTGTAGCTTCTGGAAAAAGACCCCAACGGTTGATGCGTTCGCAACAAGAGAGAATGCAAGAGCGGAGAGATACATCTCGAGATATTCTGATGACCAGGCGTTCGCCCGAGACTTTTCCGGTTTACGAAATGGCGCGCAAAAGAGGTCATTTATGCTTTTCCCCCGAGGAAGATTGCGACCCTGGCTTTCAGGTACCTAGAGGATTACGCGATGAGAAACTCGTGGGCACTGGTGGTGCTGTGCTACGAAAGAGAGCCGCTAGCCCTAGCGCTGGCGCGTAGGAAAGGCCTAAAAGTTCGCAAGTTGGAGACAACAGTAGCGGTGATCTCGCCAACGCCCAAACGATCGGAAGAGCTGGGATACTTCAAGCCTCTGAAAGCGGAGGCGTCGACTTGGGTAATAATAAATGAAGCTGGGGCTACCCGAAAAGGCTGAAAACTCACGTTGACTTCGACTGCTCAGTTAGTTTATTATTATAAGCTGTCTTATCGTTTTCTAACACTACAAGAAGCACTTGAGTCCGAGTTTCAGATCCTTAATCATTTCTATTCAGAAACGAAATTCGGATATGAGTGACTACGACTCGGAAGATGAGAACTTCAAAATAGTAGCTCCAATGGCGTTGAATAAACCGACAAAGGCGAACGCCTCGGCCGCAGCACTGCGAGAAAAATTCGACCTCTCATCAAGCAAGCAGCCTGTCGACAAAGGGACTGCATGCAGAATCATCGAGGAGAACCTGACGCACCCAATTCTGGGCCCGTTGCTGAAGGAGAAGAAAAGGACGGCTAATGAAATCGAGCAAATGAAGCCAATTCTACAGCACCTTCAGACAAAAGCGTCAGAGGCTCGAACCCTGCACCTTCTATACAACGAAGCGCTGATGAACAAGGAGAAGGGCACAACGCCGAGCGGCGATAAAGGGAAAGATGAGGAGTTGTTCCTTAAAACTCACTCGAGAGAGAAACTCGTCAAAGAAGTGCGAGACACAAAAGCGGCTTACGACGAGTATGCTTCGACCAAGCAGTTGCTCGACGATCGCGTTAAGAAATTAACAAAGGAAATCAAAGAAGCTGCAGAACTGCACAAGGTGAAAACCGCTGTCAAAGAAGGCGACCGCTATTATTTGATCCAGAGAAGAACCTCAGGGATCAAGATGTCGGTAAACCGGAGTCTCGAGGAGGTGGGACAGGAGTTCTACTCCAAGTTTGCTTCGGTGAAAGCCCTGGTAAACTTGGACAAGCGAGACGTCACCCCAATTGTAAACGAACTGTTCCGAGTCACTCCACTAGAACTAGTGGATGATCGCATCGTTCTCATGAGAATTCAAGAAAAACTGAACGATGAGATGTTGACTAGGGTCGAGTTCGCCAGACTATGTTATACCCTGTTCACCCAAGAGTGCCAGGACGAGTTCGACAAGAACTTCCACCAGCTCTGCAACAACCCCAAGTTGCATGCAAAGATCCAGCTGCCTCTGGACTACAAGCTTCGTGAAGACGAAGAATATGACACCAACACCCATGCTAACCAGAAGCGAGAGCGGGCGGTTAGACATAGGATTAAGTTCGGGACGGCGACAGCCGAAGAAAAAAGATGGTACCTTAACACTAAGAAAAACAAAGCCATCAACGAGGCAGAGTTGAAAAAGGCGGTGCAGAACAGCAACCAACGGAAGAGAGGCGGGAAACCGCAACAGAACAATAGGGGCAATCAGAGTGGAGGAAACTCCAACGATGGGAACGGTAACGGGGGCGGAAACGGAGGAAACCGAAACCGCAACAACAATAAGAAGGATAACAAGGCTCAGGGAGGAAACTCCAACAACTCTAACAACCAGCCCCCGAACAAAAAGCAAAAGCAGAATGAGCCAAGGGGACCCCCTAAGCAAGAGCCGAAAAAGGAACCATAGGTGACTTCGCACAAAGTGTTGCCACTTCTCCTTGTCTTTCTCACGGAAATAAACCGCGGGCGATCGCCCAACTAGTGCTACACCGGCGAGGACCCTCGCAAAACCTCAGCAGATTATACGGCCACGTAAAGGCTTTTACTGTCCCCGAAATATACCCAGGGCTTGGTTGGGAACCCAATCAAGAAGGGATTCATTTATTTATTCTCATGTAATCTTTCCTGTAAATAGAATATATCTGGGAGTAATCCCAAGTTATGTATTGTTGCCAACAGAGTCTAACGCAACCACTATTCAGAAAACTGTTTCGCTGCAAGCACAACGCGCGCAAGACGAGCGCGAATAATTCGGCGTTAGCCAGCCAAAAGAGAGCCGGACGGCAAGGACGAATGGCCGCCAAAGCGCCCGCCTGACCCAAACCCAATCCGAGTTCCCCCAAAATCACTGGGCTCAGTGAGGAAGTCTCGGAGGATAGTTGGAGAGGATCCGCTCGATCAGCCCCCTCTGGAAAGCGTTCTACCAAAACGAGCAACACCGGCGAAGCGAAAGCCCCCACCGGCTACCGAAACCGCTGGAATCGGGCCTGTTCAGGCCGAAGCTCCAAAGGCGATTGCCTCTGAGAAAGCGAAGCCGAGAAGAAAGAAACCCAAGCCCAAAAGGCCAAAAGTTCTACCAGTCCCAGCGGAGGATGAAAAAGATTGGTTCGAAGAAGTTCAAGGCGAAGGCCTCGATCTCGTGGACGAAGATGAAGCTTACTGCTCAGAGTCAGTCTGGACAGACGCTCATATCAGAGTTGCAGTGGCAAGCATGGTGGAGCTAAACAGAGGGAAAACCTTTGACGAAATCACATCAGCCCTTCTGGATTGGATTGACAAGAATGTTTGTCCACCCAACAGACCAAATAGATACCAGCACTGGTACCAAGTGATACGGGCCGCTCTCGAAAGAGAAAGCAACGCCAGACTTCCAGGCTCATGCTCGAACGAGATTGTAAGATGGGCCAAAGCGAGGGCCAAATCTCTCGCGGGAAAGAAGCTCTATGAGCCATCACAAGCCGAAAGGTTTCGCATGTGCGATATGATCGCGCTATGGTCGCATATGCTGGCATCAAGGAAGCCAGTGAGAGTAGAAGCAGCCCTCTATAGCGGTATATGCTTCTTTACCGGGGCCCGCGCGATCGAGGTTGGTAAACTCTTTATCGAGGATATCTACGAATCGATCCAAGGAAATGCCTTGGTGTTGCCAATAAGGGAAAGCAAGACGAACGTCTTCAAAAACATTCCGGAAAGATTAACAATGTTTTTCGACGACCGTTGCCCCCTGGACTTCAAAGCCCTTTTCTACGAAATCCTGGGCGTCCGAGAGGAAGGAAAACTCTTCCAACACTGCAGAAACCGCAGAATACTCTGCTACCATTATAGCAAGGCCTCGAAAGAGCTGGGCTGGGCCAGAGTTCCATCGGGACACTCGGGAAGAACTTCCGCCATCACGATGGGCATTGCTACAGGCATCCCCAAACTAGATCTAGAAATCATGTACCGGTGGACACCGGACTCTAGGATGTACCATAGGTACAGGGCTCTAAATATGGAGGAATCCGAAATCGGGGCCCCGGCTATGGTAGCGCGAGCCTTGGTGGATTCTCTGTTCGGAGGTCCGCAAGGTACGGCGCTCCCGGCGGGAAATTCAGAGAATCTAGTCTCGCCGGAAGTAGGAGCCAGAGTTCTGGCCGATGCTAATTGGTACGCTCGTACAGTAAAAAGGCTGCACTCTGATCATGTAGCGCATCAGGGGATCCCCTCGGCGCTAGACCCTAAACAGAGAAAAGGCCTTCCTAACAGACCGGTGTTTCGTGATAGGGAAAGTGGAGCGATGTCAAGTCAACCCCACACTTCCGATTCAAAGGCGCACGCCTCCACCTCTAGTCTGACACATACGCTGGAACCAGCGGCTAAATTGGGAGAGACCCCTCTCCCGAACCCCCAGACTTCGAAGGAGGTCGAATCTTTTAAAGGAAAATATCCTCTGCAAAGTGATTCGGGGAAACCCGGAGAAATCTGCACTTGCTGCGCAAAATGCAAACAGCGTAAAGCAGTCGGGGGGAGCCCCCCGGAAGTCCCGGCGCCAGTAGAAAGATCCTCCTCGCAATTGCCGGATTACATTCAACGCCAAATGAGTCGCCTTAACGACACTCCCTTCGCAAAGTAAGTTTTATTGCTTCAAGGGTAAATCTCAACCGCTTGTTTTTAAGGAATCTTCAAGAAGGTTGACGATAGTTTACCCCGGAAGACGCAGGAGTCCTCAAGCAGGACCTTTTATTTTGTTTTCCCCGGTTTTTCTGCTGTATCAGAATAAAACCTGTTCTCAATTTACTTAAGTCCATTGCTCGACAGCAGGTATCATGCATGCTGATCAGCAACTTGTCTCTCTACTTTTTGCCTTTCGGCATAAAAGCATTCTCGTAGTGTAGCGACAAGCTCACGACTTTCTCGAGTACCGTTATATCGCCAGGTTAGCTAAGCAGACTATCACTCCTTACCGCACGGTATTTTTAGTGTAAGTAGCTAATCGGGTTTGATCGCGCCGTTTCTTTTTCGCGCACCTTACTCGAGCGCCTAACGTGGTGACCGGTTTTTTCGCCTTCGAAAGCGTAGGGGTGAAAACCGGCTCCCATAAAGTTAGGCATGCCCAGGCCGTATTCCCGGTCGGGAAGATGCGCGTAGTAGCTTAGGCTCCGTAGCATTTAAGCCCATCTGTAAGGCTGGTCCCAGCGTCAATCGTGTTAGTCGAGACTAGCGGGGCCCAGAAGCTGAACAGCTGGCCAACAACTGAGTACGACATATCAATGAGTGGTAGAAGTAGTGAAGTCTTGCGCTTATATTTGCATCTATTGATTTTTCGTCTTTTATGATTAGACCTGACCAAAAATCTGGGTGCTCAAACATAGCAAGCCTCGTTGTTGTTGAGATGCTGTTGAGGTGACGCTTAGTGCGCGCCACCCCTGTTTTGCAGTTTTGTCTCTAGAATTGTTGTGCGCGCGGGCGCGGCGCAAGTCGAAAAGCTCATTCGCGTTAAAAAGCACGCTCGTGCGGCCGATTTTCGGAGTTCTCCGATGTGACCGACTTAGCGATGCTTTTTATACTTTATTTAATTCTAGCGACCCCTCCCTCCTTCCCCCAGTAGAGTCTCCTTATGGCCCTACGTTGGTTTTACCTTGAGAGCGTAGCCCATACCTACCTCCCTGGTCCTGCAACACAGCATCTCTTTAGTGCCGGTGGTTAAGGTCTGCTTCCTGCCACATACGGTACGTATACTTATCATAGAAGACGTTACGCTTGCGCTTATATTTGCATCTATTGATTTTTCGTCTTTTATGATTAAAGAATCGTCTCCATGCCCTCTCCCTCCTATCCCTCTCGCCTCTTACAAACGAAACATACTAGCGATGAACAAGACTCAGACCAGTTCCAGGTGGATATTATTTATTCGCTTTTATTGAGAAAATTGATTGGAACATTTCTACCGAACTTTCTATCAGCAGTGAATAAAAGGTTTTTGCCATCGAATTTGGAAGAAAGTGACTCAAAGTCAACTGTTTTAGGCACAGAAAGGGTTCTCTCCCAGTTGTGTACTGACTCGATCTTCATTCTTTCGACGATCTCTGATGTTTTTGAAAGGCCAGAGATTTGTAACTCTCTCTTTGACTCGTCCTTGGTGATTTTGAGGTCTTCTTTCTGCGTTGGAAACGAAGTGAGATCGACTGTTGCTGACCAGGTTGTAGGAGTGATCATTTCTTGCGAAATGGAGTAGGGCTGGAAGCGACGAACACGGCATTTGCGCTGGGTTGGGCGGTCGAATTCAGGAGAAAAAGGAAATCCGGCGATTTTGATCATCTTTTTATTTTTGAATCTCTTTGAAAGATTTTTGGTTTGAATGTGCTCTTGCTGAAACGAGCCGATTAAATACCTTTGAAAACTTCCAGAAGATTCGGGAAATCAAGTGTAGAATATTACAGAACATTCCAGAATAAATAGAACATTCAAGAAAACGGATCTTTAAAGAAAGAAGATTCGAGAATAACCTAGCCTGGAAATGGAATTTTCTGGAAGAAACGAGGACAGCAATAAGTGGCTATAAATACCTAGCGGGAGAGGGCTTTCTCATCACACCAAAGACACAAAAACCAACGAAAATGTTCACTTTTTCCAATGAAAACTTCGAGCCGCTGATCAACCAGATCTTCTCTGAGTTCGCCCATTCCGCCAGCAAGAAAGGAGGACGCTGCCAAACTGTTGAGAAATCGAGCAAGTGGTGCAGCTGCATCAACCTTTCTTCCATCCCCACCAAACCCGAGGAACTGCACGTGAAGGTGGACGAGAAGAGCCGCAATCTGACCGTCTCTGGAAAGTCTGAAACGGAGTCTACCCGACGAGACGGATTAAAGATCTTCTCAACTCACGTCTGGACAAAACAAATTCGAGTTCCAGAGGATGTGGAGCTGAAGACGATCGCGTCCAAGTTGCACGAGAATCAGCTCACTTTCGGCGCTGAACGAGTTCAGAAAGAAGAAGACAAGCAACAAGAAATTCCGATCGAGATCGTCGATACTCCTGCCCTTGACTGAGAAGGTCGATTGTCGTTCATTCCTTTCTTACCTGATTTTACGGAAAACACATAAATAAAGTATTAACCTGCAAAAACATAATCACAATTCATAAATTTGCTATATATTGTGGCTAGAACCGGCCTCCATCGCTTAGCGTCATACCGCGTAGAATAAACCAGTTCTCGTCCGATCACTGAAGTCAAACTACGACGGGCGGGGTTAGTACTTACATGGGTGACCGGTTGGGAATACCTCGTGCGCTAAGCATTTTGCTTTTTGAAACGCTGACTCTTCTTTTTCGAGGATACATTCAGCCTCTGAGTTTCAGAGTCGTGTTGTTGAAGAATCAACTAATCAGTAATCGAAAAAGTCACCATGTTTGCGTGAAGTAAGCATTGAGAGTTGAGCTTGCGTGGCGGGCGGCGTGGCACTTGTGAAAAAGCGCCCTCTGCCGCGCGCTTTTCTGAAAAGAGGCCGAAAATAGGAGCGTGCAGCGACAAAACGACCTCGAAATCAAGCACCCCTTCTCTTTACTCATCCCATTTTTGAGTCCGATTTCGATTGTCTAACAGGTAAGAATCGTCTCCATGCCTACTCTCTCCTATCCCTCTCGCCTCTCACAAACAAAAACTTCTTGGAAGAAAAACCCTCCTGCAGGGAAAC